GGCCTACAACGCAAAAACAAGCTCTTCTCAGGGCTGGAGACGACAGCTCGGTGGTAGAGTGCTACCTAGAATGGTCAAGGCGCTAGGTTCAATTCTTCAGCATGGTGAAAAATAAGAAAATCTCTTTCTTATACACGGGCCAAATTGATCTTCAGAGTTTCATTTCTAGGTCCATGCTTCCGGAAACACCATACGTTCAAGTTTCTTTTCTAAATCAACTCAGAAGACCCTCTTTGAAAGCAAAGGTTGGTCCATGTAAAGCAAATGAAAGCAGAAGTGTGGTGCTGTGCGGAGACAGAAGAGGGGGTGAGGGCTTTGCTCCTCCTCCCGGCTGGAACAAGCTCTTTGAGAGTCCCAGCCCCCCTCCCCAGGGAATGTGATGTGACATCTGCAACACAGCGGGGTCTACAGTCACATCTGGAATCCTACTCCATGCTTCCACAGAGAGGAACCCCCCCAGGAGAGCTCTGGAAATTGGTATCAAGAGCTGATCACTTCTGGACTTGACTGAATAACAGCAAGAGTTCCTTTTAGAGCCACATCAGCCTTCAGAGGCTAAGTCCCCTGCCTTCCAGTATGTACACACACACACACACACACACACACACACACACGCACACACGCCCAGCTACTCTGTGCTGTTCACCTACCCTCTGTTCTCTGCATGGTGAAGCTTCCAAGCTCAATCCCAGCACAGAGTCACTGTTGGGTCGTGGTGTCTTGAAGTCTTGATCAGCTTGTCCTCAGCCAGACAAAAGGAAAACATTGATTTTTGTTTCTGTTTTTGCTTTGGCTTTTTTTTATTTTTTTAATTTAATTTAATTTTATTTGTGAACATACTGTACAGAGGGGTTACAATTACATGAGCAGGATAATGCGTACATTTCTTACCAAGCATTGCAGCCTCCTCCTTTGTTTACCCTTCACATCCCTTCCCAGCCTCCCCCCTCCCCATGCTTTGGCTTTTTTTTTAAAGGAATATGCATGGGGATAAATCAACTTTGGAACCAGGCGCTGCTGGCTCACACCTGTAATCCTGACTACTCCGGAAGCTGAGATCTGAGGATCAAGGTTCAAAGCCTGGCAGGAAAGCTCGTGAGACACTTATCTCCAATAAACCACAAAATCAGAAATGGCGCTGTGGTTCACGTGGTAGAGCGCTAGCCTTGAGCTGAAGAGCTCAGGGACAGCTCCCAGGTCCAGAGTTCAAGCCCCACAACCGACAAAAAAAAAAAAAATCAACCTTGGCTTATTTTGTTTTTCACACTTCTTAACCTCCTTGAGTTGCAATTCTTATCCACCAGCACAGTCAAGTTGGTAAGATGTGGTAAGAGGTAGGTGTGAATGCTTCCCTGATTATGAAAACTCTCCTTAGGTTCTTTTCTTCAGCAAGCTTTGCATGCCAAAGATTTGCTGGAAGCGCCAGGCACAATCTCACATGAAAATCCCTAAGGGTTGGCCTAGTGCACGCAGAAAAGGATTAGCAGGAGCCTCTCCCACAGGGGCAACACTGCAGACCCGCCTCTGCCCGGCCGTGCCCTGCCCCAGCCCCTGCACGGCTTGGCGCCGCTGAAGAAAGCAAAGGATGCGTTTCAGCTTGCATCGGGATGTGTAGATTTCCACCTGAGTTTTCAGGGTTGGAAAGAAGACAGTTTAAAAACAAAGGCTGGAATAAAGTCTCCCCCTCCAGGCTTTGGTGTTTGCTAGGCAGAATGAAATTTTCCACATTCATTGTGATTCTGGGTGACTGGCAGCTGTGTGCCATGTAGTGACTAAAGTTGCATAACTCTATCTGCTATGCAGAATCATTCAGCAGTAAATCGAGTTCCATTCCCATTATAGGTATGGGCACTTTTCTTCCCCTCTTAATCTTAGGAATATTACCCTAATCATTTCTACTTTTCTTTTTGTCAGTCATGGAGCCTGAACTCTGGGCCTGGGTGCTGTCCCTCAGCTCTTCAGCTCAAGGCTAGGCCTCTACCACTTGAGCCACAGCGCCACTTCTGGCTTTTTCTGCTTATGTGGTGCTAAGGAATTGAACCCAGAGCCTCATGCATGCAAGGCAAGCACTCTACCACTGAGCCACCTTCCCAGCCCCATTTCCACTTTTTTAAACCAGGTATGATGATGTCAGCCTCTAATCCCAACTATGCAGGAAGCACAAATAGAAAGATCTCAGTCCCTGAACTCCTTGTGCAAAGCGCAAGACCCTACCCAGAAACATAACTAGACCCAGGGGATGTGTCTCAAGTAGCAGAGCACCTGCATAGCAAGAGTAAGGCTCTGCATTCAGAATCCAATACTACCAAATAATAATTTTCCTGGACTGAGTTGGACAATTTAATAAGTACTTTCATACACATCCATACACTTTGCCTCCCGTGGTGATTCACAATAAGCCACAAAATGGGAATCAAGTTACTACTAATAATAATAATTTAATTGGTACTAATCTCAAACCAAGCAGTTTGGTGTGTGCTTGAGGGTCCTCAACCACTGGTCTTCAGGACACCCATGCAATGCACCTAAATCAGGTCCTGTTTTATAGTTGTGCTGACTAATGTAAGTTCACACAATAAGCTTCAAGCAGGAAGTCAGATCCAGAATCAAGTGGATCAATTCCCAAGTCTGCACTCCCATAGCGTACTTCCCAAGCTTCTCCTAGGATCTCCTGAGCTCTGATCCCAGCAAACTGGAATTGCACACTTACTTTGAGATAAGCCCTTCACCTCAGATGCCCTTTTGTGGTATAAACAGGCTCACCATAATTAGGATATTGGTACTCTTGGCCTTACTATTTTATAGAAATATGATAGTAGGGAAAGTTCATCTGATAAGTTCCTCAACTTAAATTTAGAATCTACATGCTATAATAGCCAACATGACTATGAGTTTAAACTCTTTTTATTTTTTTTCCTGATGGCTTTGTACTTGCTGGGCAAGTACTCTACTCCTGGAGTTAAACTCCAGCACTATTTTGCATTGATTATGTTTAAGGTGGAGTCGTACTTTATACCCAGCCTGTGATTTGGACTGTGATCTTCCTATTTGTGTTTACCCTTGTTTCAAGGGACCACAGGCCCATGCCGCTGTTCCTAGCCACTGCTCTGTCCCCATAGCTCCAATAGCAGGAGTAACACATCACCCAGCCATTGGTTGAGATGGAGTCTTTCAACTTCTTTTTGCCTGGGCTGGCCTTAAATGACATTCTTTGGATCTCTGCCCTCCACCCCCATCCCAAGTAACTAGGATCACTGTTTTGAGATGCCACACCTTGCTTTAGCTCAGTTTTTCCTTGGCTGCTTTTGAAGTTTCAGCTTTTTTTTTTTTATCATCCAATCAGTTTTTACAGAGATGGATTAAGATCATAATGACTTAACTCTCACTTCCTTCACAGGGAGCTGGAAACGCTGCTCTCTCTTTTCCAGGTCTCTCTACCTTAATCCTTTCATACTAAGAATAAGTCCTTGCAAAAACTTCTAACAAAAGATTTATTCAGATACATTAATTTTTGAAAAAAACTACATTTTCTATGTTGATAGCCTCTAAGGCATTGCCAATCCCTTAAGAGGGATTTTTATCAACCAGGTGACTGCCTATGCGCTGGCATGCGGCCATATGGCTGGTTTTTCACATCAGTTCACAAGCAAACAGAGTTAATGTTGCTAATGAACTTTGGTTTATTTGATTTGAAGGCTGAGCGTATACCTAGTCCAAACCTGTTTAATTCTGTGACAAAGACTGCAAAGAGTGCTAGGTCTTCAGCACCTAATGCTAAAACAATGGCATTTATGTACTACCTTGATCAATTAGCAGTGCTTTTACCAGGTACCTTTCATTTGACTATTGGAATTCTTAATTATAAAGATGAATTCTGAATTCGATGTGGATGTATTTTTAATCAGATCTACAGCACTTACTACATTCCTTGTCAAGGAAAATTTTATTTATATATAACGGTAAACCTTACTAAATCTTCCCCTGTGGGTTGGAAAGACTTTTATTTTCTGGATTTTCCGGTCTGAACAGCACTGTCCAAAGACTTGACTGGATCACTCTGCAGGGTGACATTTTCTTTACTGGAGATGGAGTGTGATAATGTAAACATGACTGCTGCCCAGGGTAAGAGCCAGCTTGGATCATCTCTTACTAAAAGAAATAATAGATTCAAGCGATCCTAGGATCGTGTCCTATATGAGGAGACAGTGGTGAGAAATGGCTGGACAGTTGATTCTGAGGAGCTAAGAACTTGCCAAATAAATGAAAGCCCTTTAGAATTCGAGTGTTTATGTGTAATTCCTTTGAAGCCCTTACTCTGGGTACCTCTGTGTGTGTAAACTTCATAGCCAGTTGATCTTATGCCCTTGTTCCATGGATAATGTAATCTGGAGTCAGATGATAATTTTTCTAGGCATACGAGTAAGTTTTCCTTAACTTTCTAGCTCTCACATACCTAGAAACCACAGCAATTCATTTCTATGTCTTGTATACTCCCAATCTCTTTTTTTTCCCTCAACTTTGACCTTCTATTCCAATACTTTTTACATCTCATTGACTCTGTCTTTCTTGATATTTATTTGCACATTTTCTATAAACTACGTCAAGTCTTTGAAGACTGAAGTCGTGTCTACACACACATCTCTAAAATGAGTTGTCTCACAGCACATGCAAGGAACACATAAACAAAAGGTGTTTTTAAATGTATTTATTAAAAGACCTGATTCCAAAATAAAATGACTAAGAATGCTTTCTTTCCTTTCAATGGGTTTGGTTATTTCCTGCTCTTGGATTAATCATCATAGCTAGTAGAATTCTCTTCACAATTCATTTGTAAAGAGGCAGGGCTTCTGGGGAAAGCTATGAATCAGATTGTTGGAGGCGGAACTTAGGAACTGACTATTTATTGGGAAGCAGAAGATACTGTTATGCACAGCAAAGTGATAACTTTTCAATCAGAAAAATCCCCCTTTCCTGAAGTTCAGAATCAAGAGGAAGCTAGGATGAGCACGGCTGGAAAAGTAAGCAGAGTGGGTGCGGTATTGTTATGCTCTAGTAATGTAGGGTTGGCATTTAAAACTTTGAATCTAGTCAGATAATTAAATCTTTGAGGATATCCCTTGAGGAATGGAATGCCTTTGAGCAGGCATACAGTACAGGCAAAGTTAAATTAATGAAAACTATACATGGAAGAGTTTTCTGTAACCTACTAGAGAACAATAGAGAATTATGGTTGACAGTATACTGGTGTTATTCACAATTTTCTTTCAGGAAAGATGAGCATTTGCTCTGATGAGCAGAGTATTTCCAGAAGGAGATTTTTATATTTTTTTAATCAATATCCTCAGTAGCATGCACTGTATTCGTTTTTCAGTAAGTTTGGGGGTCTAAGAGACACTAAGAAATGCTAATTCTGAAAGGCAGGTGGACAACTAGTATGCTTTGAAGGTTTCTCAGATGCATTAAAAAAATTAAAACATAAGTTTTAAACTTCCATAAAAATAAGGCTATATTGTAGATAATTAGGTTTGCTCTGTTTTTTAAAAATGTCAGAATTAATTTTAACTTTAGAAATCACTGGCTTTTTCTCACTTTCAAGAAGACGAGTACAAGCACTTGCTTTAGATGGGCACACAATTGCAAAATCTTTTTGATGCTTCTCGTTAGTTTGCTGTGTTCTTAGCATATGCTGTATTTACACTGCCTCAAGGTTTGGGGAAGAACAGAAATGGCATTTGAAGTCTTGGGTTGAGTGATGAGAGAGCGAATACTCTGATGTTAGAATTTGAAACGTTTTCCCCCCAGAATTAAGTAGAACTGGAATAAAAATACCTGCATCTGGGTCAGAAATCCAAGAAAACAAGCTGATCTGGATGATCCACTTTTCTCACTGAGAAGCCAGTGACTCTAGCCATTGAAATGAACGAACCACAGATTTACAGGGGATCTTAAACATGGCCAGGGGCTCAGACACCAATGCTGCTCTCTTCAAGAGGCAACCCAGACACTGCCAGCACACATCCAGTAATGGAGACATTCGGTGGCCCCAGACATTACACTGTCATGATCGGATGTATACTACAGCGGGAGTAGTTGTTATATCAGTTCATTTGGAGATAACTGCACAGTGCTGTGGTTTGCAGAAGAGATATGTAGTTCCTAAGTTGTTCTAACTTTTCAGTGTGGCTCAGGAAAGAAGAGGTGCCCTTTCCATGATGGATTGCTTTTTCCCTTCTTTATATTTTTTTTCATTTTCATTAAAAACTAAAAGATAAATGAATTGGTTTGCTTAAGGTTATCATAACCAAGTGACATGTACTAAATGACTTAAAGAGTGAGACTTTACCTAGTCTAGAGCCATCGCGTTTGATTTTAGAACCTAAGCAGGGTCATGTATGATTAGTACTTGAATGGGAGACATTTATCTTCTCTTACATCTAAAATCTGGAATTCTAAGAACAAGCCATTGACACCATTGGTTTCTTCTGAGATCTTTCTCTTTAGCTTGAATGTCCTTGTTCTCCATTTTCATGACCTTTGTGTGTGTGTGTCTGTGTCTTAGTCTCTTTTTCTTATAAGATGACTAGCTCTACAAGTTAGACTAACTTTAATGATCTCACTTTAGCTCAATTGCCTCTTCAAACACCCTACCTCCAAATACTATCATCATATTCTGGGAAATTGAAGGTTAGGACTCAATTTTGAGAATTTTGAATTTTGGAAAAACATAATTCAATTATAATGGTCATTCCAGACAATTTGAATCACCAGTAACTATAAGGGGAAAAATACAGCAGAAGCTGTTCTATTCCCTCAGCATTTTTGTACCCATATTTTATATAGCCATACCAGCACAGCACTCGAACGTTTTTATTCTATCTTTCCAACTTTTTGGTAACATTTTCCCAGTTTACTACAACTTATAAATAGTCTTAAGTGCCTGAGATAGGTTTCTAGATTTACTACAATTTATTTCCCCATTCCTTGGTTTTTATTTGCATTTTTCTTTTTATAAAGTCCAATTATGTTCTCTAATCTATATTAAGATTTTCCAAATGGGATTGCATGAAATTGCAGAGCTTCTGCATGGCAAAGGACATAGCTAGCAATATCAATAGAAAGCCCATGGATTGGGAGATGATCTTCACTAGCCATACAACAGAAAAGGGTCTCATATCTAAAATATACCTGGAACTCAAAAAATTAAATCCCCAACAACAAATCTTCAAAGAAACAACTGCCCAATAAATAAGTGGGCTAAAGACTTAAAGAGAAACTTCTCTGAAGAAGAAAGAAGGATGGCCAATAGACACATGAAGAAATAAATGCTCAATCTCCCTAGCCATAAAAGAAATGCAAATCAAAACAACATTGAGATACCACCTCACCCCAGTTAGAATGGCTAGAATCAAGAACTCTAATAACAACAGATGCTGGAGGGGATGTGGACAGAAGGGAACCCTACTGCATTGTTGGTGGGAGTATAAACTTGTTCAACCACTTTGGAATGCAGTATGGAGTTTCCTCGAAAGACTCTACATAGAGCTCCCCTATGGCCCAGCAATCCCACTGTTGGGCATTTACCCAAATGATCACAAACAAGACCAAACTAAAGCTACCAGCACAACTATATTTATTGCAGCATTATTTCCCATAGCTAACATATGGACCAATCCAGATGCCCCTCAGTAGATGAATGGATCAAGAAAATGTGGTATATATACACAATGGAATTCTCTGCCTCCATCAGAAAGAATGACATTGCCCCATTTGTCAGGAAATGGAAAGACTTGGAAAAAAATTATATTAAGTGAAGTAAGCCAGGCTCAAAGAAACATAGGTTCCATGGTTTCCCTTATTTGCAATATCTAGTATATGTCTGAGTCAAGCAGAAAAGGTCAGATAAGTTGATGTTAAGGAAATGAACCCTAAGATATGTATTCAAATGTTTTTTTTCTTTCATGCGATTGTTCCTAAATTATTTATAAGATGATTTCTTTGCTGCTTTGTATGTCCCTCCCCCACGGTATAAGCTCTGCTTTCACTGTATTTGATGTTGGTATAATTTTTGGAGGGGAAGGAGAAAAACAAATTGTTTAAATAAGGATACAGGTGGACCCATTGCAACAATGAGATGTACAAGTTGTTATGTCGAAAAACGAACTTTACAACTTTGGCAGGGGGATGGGATGGGGGATAAGGGTGTGGGGGGAAGATGGGAAGGGATAGGAAGGGGAAACAAAGGAGGAGGCAACAATGCTTGATAAGAAATGTACTCATTATCTTGCCCATGTAATTGTAACTCCTCTGTACAGTATTTTTGTAATAAAAACAAAGATTTTCCAGCACGGCTTCAGTGGTTCACACCTGTAATCCTAGCTACTCAGCAGGTTACTCAAAGCCAGCTCAGGCAGGAAAGTCTGTGAGACTTTTATCTCCAACTGACCACCAGAAAACCAGAAGTGGTGCTGTGGCTCAAGTGGTAGAAAGCTCGCCTTGAACTGGGACAGCTCCCAGGCCCAGAGTTCAAACCCCATGACTGACAAAACAACAACAAAAAGATTTCCTGTAGTTAACATTTCCCTAAGGTGTAGTTTTAAGTTTTTTATTGTTACTCTAAAGGTTACAGTTACATGTCAAGTAAAGTGTACATTGCTTTGCTTTACATTTCTTTTTCCTCTTCACTCACACTCTCTCAGTTTTTCCCTCCATCCCACCCACCAGTTGTATAGTTCATTTCCAACATAGTGTCTAATAAGTAGTATTGCTGCATTTGTTCACCCTTTGTCCCTCCATTTCTGTGCCTCTCCCTTACCCTCCCCCCAAAACAGACAAACAAACAAGACAAAAAGACAACAAAAACAGCAACAAAGAAAAAAACTCATTTCCATTTCCTGAAATTTATTTTGATAAATATTATTTTATATGATCAAATGTACATAGTCATTGTGCCTTTTCAAAGTTTCCTCCTTTGGTCTCACTGGGTGCGAATGTCTAGAACCCTGTATAATTTGTCATGTCCCCGTGTATTTTAGATCTAGCTTCCACATATGAGAGAAAACAGGCACCATTTGTCACTCTGAGTTTGGCTAAGGCAGATTTTGTAACGGAATTAAGAGAGGAAAATGTGTTTTGATGTACACTGTGGATTACCTTCCAAAGAGGTTAATCTCAGCAACAAAGTCCATTTTCTTTCCTTCAGGCAATTTGTATGTTTCCATTAAGTGAAAAGTAATCGGCTTGACAATCTGAGCATTACATTTCATTATTTTTTCTTAAAGATACTTCTTATGATAGACTTTTAAATATTCAGCCATTACAGAGAATAAAATAATGATTGCTGGAAAAAATGCTTCTTATGATTGCATGGAACAATATTTTATAGGCTAGCTTGTTATATTTGCCTTGGAAGTTGTCACCCCTGGGGTATAAGAATATCTGGAAATACAGGGTAATCTTGTCTGAATGCTTTTCTTATGAATGCTTTCTTCAACTGGTTAAGCCTATGTATGTCCAACAAGGCAACTTAGATCAGAGGCCTACTTGTTTGATCATTTCTCAAAAATAAAATAAAAGGCCAAAGAACTAGGGAAGTGGCTCAAATGGTAGAGCAGTTGGCTAGAAAGTACAAGGCCTGGGTTCTACCCCCAGCATCACAAACAATAAAAACAGCTAACTGGATGGAACTAGAACAAACCATGTTAAGTGAGCTGAGTCAAGCTCAGAGTAACAAACGGTGATGTTTTCTCTCATATGTGGAAACTAGATCTAATATACACCAGATCTAATATACACCATCTAATATACACTAATATACACATGATAAAGTATACAGAACTCTAGGCATTCACACACAGTACGACCAAAGGATGCTCTTAGAAGAATGCATCTGATCATATAAAATAATATTTATCAAAATGAAGCCCAGAATGCTTTGTTGCTGTTGTTGTTATCTTTCAGTCTTATTTATCTATCTTTGGGAGGGTACTGGCAAGCAAATGCAGCAATGGTATGCACTAGATGCTACATTGGAAATTAACTGTACACCTTGTGGGAGGGGATGGGAGAAAGAAACTGGGAGAGAAAGAGGAAAGGGGCAACATTGTCCAGAAAAGTGTACTCTCTACCTGACATATGTACCTGTAACCCCTCTGTACATCACCTTTATAAGAGCAATAAAAAACAAAATGAAAACAGCTAAAGTACTGAAAGCTAGCCACAGACGATTCCTCAGTGTGAGAATCTTTAACTTGCCTAACTCAGTTGTGCTAGGTGGCAAAAAAGGAGGTACATTGGCAAAGACACAGATTCATCCTTCTCAGGAAATCTAGTCTCAGGCAGTGTAGTTCTTCCACATTTCCTCCATGCTCTAGTTTCTTCATATTGCTACATGGTTATAGAGGAATAGAGTCTTCTGCTCTTGCAAGCACATTAGCAGCATGTTATGTCTGCCAGATTTGTCTTTTGTGAATAATCAATGCCCAGGTGATGGCTCAGTTCATCCCTTGCTTTTGAAATTGTAACAAAAGAAGCTCGTTTACTGGAATATTATGTGAACACTGGGTTTTCTAAAGCAATGGGTGGCAGACAGGAGAGCTCACATTTAATACAGCTTACATGTCATGTGCTATGTGGTCCTAGCCTGAGTATTTTGTCCTTCTGGATGGCATTTCCAAACATCAGATGATGTGGAAGACTCCAGTATTGGGTGAAAATCATTCCAGAAAATATACAGTATTACATCTATCATCTGTTTACATTGGTCATTTCTAGTATCTATAAAGGCAATTATGGGCCCCATTACAACACTTGTCCATTTCTTAGGTTATTAAGTGTAAAGCTGCGGTACTGTGGGAACCAAATACTCCCTTCTCCATTGAGGAAATAGAAGTCTCTCCACCGAAAGCTAAAGAAGTTCGCATTAAGGTAATAAAAGGGCCTTTCATTTGATGAAAAAAATGGTGAATAGGCATGCCTAATGACTGCTGTGAAAATCTCCCTGAAGTCCGGTTATACTGAGATTACTTTTCACATGAAAGAGGAAGTCATTTGTGCCTGAGAAATGGCATGACAACTTCTAGATCATTCCCTTCCCCTCTCCCATTCCAGTGGACAGAGTCTCACCATTGGTTTGGGGACCAGTTGCTGAGAGGTCACTGCTGCCAGCCTTCTCTCGATCCTCTCCTTTGGTCACAGTGAGATACAGCTCCTTCCTTACCACCTTGGCCACCATTCCCTCCACCCTTTATTAAGACAGTCTTTGAAGAACCTGTCTACAAAAATCTACACATTGCCTTGGTAACATCTGCATCCAATTCCTTCAAGTTCCCCAGCAATATTTAAAATATTATAGTTCCTTTGAAAAGAAAGAACTCATCTGGTTATTGATTTTAGGTTCAGAGTCTTGTCAGAGTCTTATATCAGAAAAATGATGTAGAAGAAACAATGATAATCTCTTCAAGACCTAAGTCAATGTTCTCTCAATTGGTAAATGACCAGTTTGCTGTTGGGTTCACAATGGTTTTGTTTGTTTGCTTTTGAGCCCAGATTTTGGCTTCAGGAATCTGTCGCACAGACGACCATGTGATAAAAAAAGCAATGGCGGCGAAATTCCCAGTGATCGTTGGACACGAAGCAACTGGAGTGGTAGAGAGCATTGGAGAAGGTGTTCAGACGGTAAAACCAGGTCTGCACACATGTCAGTATGTAGATGTTCACTATTCCAGAAAAAAATAATAATAGTACCTGCCAGGAGTCATTTGAGCCTTAACCCAACTCAGAAAGATGCAATAAGCAATTGTACCAAGTTGTACTTACCATGGCAAAATCTCCATCATTAGCTAGCAACACTTACAGTGCATGTAACCTTTGAATCTTTTCAATGAACTTTCCTGTGTAGTTATAGGTTCAGCTTGTATTCATTTATCTCATTGTTAACACACAGTAGCTTATATCATGATGTTCTTCCTTTAGGTGACAAAGTCATCCCCCTCTTTTTGCCACAGTGTGGAGAGTGTGCTGCCTGCCGTAACCCACAGGGCAATGTTTGCATCAGGAGTGAGTAGGTGTCAGGCATTGTGTCACTCCAATGACAGTTGAGTTTCTTGTGCTTTTTGAATTGAATAATAACTATCGGCCTCTGGTGTTTCATATAGTTTAACTGGTCTTGGGGTCCTGGCTGATGGCACTACCAGGTTTACATGCAAGGGCAAAACTGTCTACCACTTCATGAACACCAGTACGTTCACTGAGTACACAGTGGTGGAGGAAATTTGTGTAGCCAAGATTGATGACGCGGCTCCTCCTGAGAAAGTCTGCTTAATCGGGTGTGGATTTTCCACTGGATATGGGGCTGCTATGAAAACTGGCAAGGTAAGAAACAGGGTAGGGTAGACTAACATCTCCCTCCTTCCTTCCCTCCTTCCCTCCCTCCCTTTCCTCCTCCTCTTCCTCCTCTCCCTCTCTCTCTCTCTCTCCTTCTCCCTCTCGCTCTCCCTCTCCCTCTCCCTCTCCTCCGCCTCCTCCTCCTCTTCCTCCTCCTCCTTCTTTTTCTCTTCCTCTTCCTCTCTTTTTCTTCTTCCTACCTCCCTGCCTCCCTCCCTTCCTTCCTTTATCTTTCTTTTTTCCTTCATTCCTCTCTCCCTTCTTTCTTTTTTCTTCCTCTCTCCCTCCCTCCCTCCTTTCTTTCTTCTTTATTTCTTCCTTCCTCCTTCCCTTCCTTTCTTCTCTTCCTTCCTTCCTTCCTTCTTTCTTTCTTTTCTCTTTCTTTTTCCTTCCTCCCTTTCTCCCTGCCTCCCTCCCTCCCTACCTCCCTCCCTCTTTTCCTTCCTTCTGTCTTTCCTTCTTTTTCTGCTTCCTTCCTTTTCTCCTTCCTTCCTTCCTTCCTTTCTTCCTTCCATCCTTCTTTCCCTACTTTCCTTTCTTATATACTTTTCTTGGCATCCCAAAGATACTTGCAAACAAACAAACAAAACTTTTTAAAAACATTTACTTCTCAGCTTAATGCCCAATCAACTGGAAAAAAAACAGAAAAATTAAGGATAGAAATTGTATTAAATCTTGGGTGTTTACTCTTGATTTCCTCCCATCTCCTTCAGGTTCGATTTCTAAAATTCTAATTCACTTCTAAAATTCATCATTCTTCATAGCATGTAGATATATTAGCCTGCTAGAGCTGCTTTCATAGAATACTATACACTGGGTGACTTTAGCAACTAAAATTTATCATCTCATGGTTCTGGGGACCAGAATCTAAAACCCAACTGTTGGCGTGGTTGGTTCTTTCTTGGGGCTTTGAGGCCATGGATCTGCTCTAGGCCATTCCTCTTGGCTTAGAGATGGCCTTCTTCTCCCAGTGTGTCTTTTCATCATCATCCCTAGATATATGTCTTTATAGCCAATTTCCCTTTTTATTTGGGTGAGGTTAGTTTTGTGTTGCTATAACAAAATACAAAGCACCTGAGGATTTATAAAAAAGTTTACTCAACTTCCAGTTTAGGGGTTGAAAATCTGATGGCCCTGTCTTTCCAGCCTCTGATGAGAGCATCCTTGAATGTACCACCCCATCGCATGACTATGAGCAAGCAAACAGCAGTCTGTAAAAGCCAACAGTGCAGAAAGTACATGGGCAGCCTCATCTCCATCTATTCTTGGCAGATTTAACTGAGATCCTCAGAGCAAGGATTAACCCTAAATCCTTCTAGGTGATTACCCCAGTGACCCATTTCCTACTAGACCTCAACTCTTGGAAGTTCCAAGCCTCCAGTCCATGAAGTCCCAGGGGACAGAGCAAACATATCCAAACAAGTCCAAGTCATAGAAGGGTCTACCTGAATGACATCACTGTAGCTTGACTGCTTGTGCAAAGACCATCTCTCCAAATGAGGTTCTGGAGATGAGGATTTCAGCATATGAGTGGGAGAAGATCATACACTCCCTAACAGCTGGCATAGAACTTATGAAAGTATTCTTAAGTTTTCAAAACTCATGAATGAGTTTTTATTTGTACCTAGTTACCCTTATTAAGTCAAAGAAGTTAAGTAGAATTATGTACAATTCAGAAACAGGAAAAACCATTCTAACAAGCTAGTCAAGAATCACCACGTAGTGGTGATCTCATCCAACTCAAAAGCCTTAAAACCTCGGAAGCAAATCAACATGAGTTGATTCCAAACTGTATTTGGAGGACTCAGTCTGAGTCCTGAATTTCTTTTATGTAACTCCGATATGCTTGATGCCTCCATTTAGATGAGCCACAGATATCTCGCACTTATGTACAAAGCTAAATTATGAATTTTGTCTTCCTCTTGCCCCTCAAATATGTTTGCTCCTACTTCTTTGCTAGCCATCCTCTTACAGCCAATCCAAACAGCACGTTCTGTTCACTGTATCTATATGATATGATTTAAATCTCACCATTTTCTGCAACTCATCACCAACATTAGAGCTTCACTAGCTTGATGTGCTGGATTTCATACTGTTTCCCCCATTGCTCTTCTTGACTGTCTTCAATAATTCTTCACTTACAAGCCAGAGTAATGGTCATAAAATACTCTGATGGTCTAGCACAGTCACTCAGCATATGTCTGAGTAACATCACTCTCTGTTTAAAGACTACTTGCCTAATCAGAGAAGTTCTCATTTTTCTTGGCCTATTTCAACTAAGTAGCAGTCCATCTCAATTATTTAAGAAAACTATGATCGCTTCTTCAATAAAATGTATACTAAGTCTTAACTCATTATATTTTAATCTTCTCCATTAGAATAAAAGTTTGAGAGACATGGACCAAGTTTTTACTTACTGCATTTTTAAAGCAAATAGCCTGGCAATAGTAATCACTTAAATATTAGTAGGAACTGGATACTGATGGCTTATATCTATAATCCTAGCTACTCTGGTGACTGAGATCTGAGAATTGCAGTTTGAAGCCAGCAAAAGCAAACAAATCGGAGAGAGTCTTATCTTCAGTTAACCAGCAAAAAACTGAAAGAAATGGCTCAGATGGTAGAAATCCAGCCATAAATGAAGAACCTGAGCAAGAGTATGAGGCCCTGAATTCAAGCCCCAGTAACAGCACAAAAATTGCAAACGTTAACAGAAAAGAGATGAGTGAATAAAAGAGGAGACTATACAAAATGTGCAGAAAAATGAAAATGATTAAGCAACTTAAAAGAAACACACACACATGGACGTTGAGAATGGAATATTTGTTCTAGCGATGGTTCAAATAGGCTTGAGTTCTATGAATATAGAGCATTAGCATTCATGCCCATACAATAGCTCATGTTAGTGATCATTTGTGTTTAGCCAAACCTTGGGAATGTTCATTCCCATGGGTCTCCTAGAAATCATACACCAAGAATTCTCTGCCAATATAGATATAAAAGAAAGGACACTGAATATAGCTTTACATTATTCTTTGTAATAATTTTTTTTACTGTACTTGGTGTACTGGTACCATATTAGCACTTGCTAAATATATTATTTATCGAGACTCTTGATACTTGGAAATAAAATAATTTTTCCTGGTAGCTGTATCTTAAGACAAATCACTTAAAGAAACATGCAGGCTTGTGTTTGCCTGTGTGAAAATTGGCCAAACTGTCAATGTTGGGGTATACCAGAAGTCCTTCCCTGGCTTCTAAGCTATGATCAAGAAATCAGAGAAGTTGTTAGGCTCATGGTCATGATTTATTAGGGTGAAAGAATCAGCAAAAGGAATGGAACTGCAGCATGTGGAGCAGAGGGGGTCTGGTGTTCTCTCCAAGCATAGCACTTACTTCTCTCAGCAGTGATGGGAGAGAATTCCTGCGAAGCGTGGCCAGGGAGGCAAGTACACCAGGCCCTGAGTTTTCCTAGGAGCCAGACATGAAAGCATCGACAACTACATCAACCTCAGCTGCTCAGCCCATTCCCAGAGACTAACTTAATGGCCCAAAGCCCCAGATGCACAAAAATAGACACCATCAACCTTATTGTTACAATAAGCTAAGACTCTAAGGTTTGTACCTAAATCTAGAACCTGAAATTCAACTATCAACAAGATTTCCTCTGAAGTCTCAACAATTCAAGTGGCAGAACAGACAGTGAGAAAAGGCAAGGAATTTCCAGTTGGGTCTGAAATGAGTGAATGGATGAATCAATAATGACTGAATCTGGATGATCCTTGAGAGAATAACTACTTTGACTCAAAAGCTCCAAACTCAAGACTGAATGAAGAATTCGGATGCCATAGCCCATCACTAAAATTATGACAATGAGTCAGACAGACAGACGGTAGGGGGCGCCCAAACCTGCAGCTTACAGGTACAGGTGCTTCGAAACACATGCTGCCATATGCACCCAGACTAGTTCTTTGATGCAGTTATTGCCAGGGAGGCAGAGCCAGAAAGCCAAGAGATCTGCAAACAGCCCCAGTTTGTCCATAGACCTTTGTATTTAAGGGGGGAAAAAAAGGAAAGAAACAACCACAACAAAGCTTATTGCCCATGGGTTTACCCATATTAGGTTCTCTGCTTGATGTAAAACTAGGGGAGAGTTCTTCGGGCAGGAAAATGCAGCATAGTACTGTGCAAACCTCCCCGAAGTGATTTAACTGCATTCCCTTCCCAGAGCTATACAGGAATCATCTAATTGCTCCAGGAGATGGGATTCTGTTGGGGAAAAAAATCTATTTCTTTACAAATGACTCAGAATCATGATTAGTCAGAAAATGTTATTCAGAACAAACATAAAAGAGATCTTGGATGGCTTTGTGGAGGAGAGTCAATGGAGGTCTTCTTGCTTGTCGAATCCTGCCGGGAGGGTGAGAGTCTGAATGCTAGCCAAGTAGACTAAAACAACCTCCTGGGCAAAGTGTAGCCATTCAGGATGGGTTTTCATTTATCTGGCAAATTCTGTTTTTGTTTTGTTACATAAGCCCTTTCTCAAACGTTCTGCCTTTTCTAATCCTCTGTGTGGCTTTCTCGAGTGAGTCATCCAGTCCTAGCAGACATACTAAAGATGTTTTGACCCCACTGGTAACGTGTAGGGCAACTTTTCTCTCCACAGGTCACCCCTGGGTCCACGTGTGCTGTCTTCGGCCTGGGAGGGGTTGGCCTGTCAGTCATCATGGGCTGCAAGTCAGCCGGTGCCTCCAGAATCATTGGCATTGACCTCAACAAAGACAAGTTTGAAAAGGCCTTGGTGGTAGGAGCTACTGAGTGCATCAGTCCCAAGGACTCTGCCAAGCCCATCAGCGAGGTGCTGGCAGAGATGACAGGCAACTCTGTGGACTACACTTTTGAGGTCGTTGGACGTCATGAGACTATGGTAAGAGCTAAGATTCCAAAGCCACAAAGTGTCCAAGCTGTTCGATATTCACAAGGCAAAGTTCATTTTCTGTTATCAGCTATTAAAAAAGGCTCTCATTCAAGCACACAAACAATGGAATACCTGATAATCAGATATTTTGCCTTAAAAATCACATGATAATCAGCTGGCATTTTTTTTTTTTTTTTTTTTTGCTGAACTAGTCACACTCTTAAGAGCAGTTCTACCTGACCAAATTTAAGCATCCTGCCATACCCCTGTCCTGTGACTAGAGGACAAGGAGACAAACCTTCTAGATAAAATTGTAGGCACTATCTTTCTTGCATAAGTGGAATTCTTCAAAAGGTGATTGCGTCTCTTGAATTTTATTTTGCAATCCAAGCACCACAAACACCACAAACAAACATCCCTCCCAAGGAGGGATGGGGAGATACAGGGAATAGGAGATCTATTCTGCTTTTTAAAATGTTTTATATTTATGTAGTTGAATGAAGTTATTTTAATTCAGTATGTCAATTATTGGCACAGTATACCTTGATCAGTATTACCCGTTCTATCATTCTTCCCCCCCACATCTACATTAATCCCTTCTGTCCTTCAAGTTATATGGTTCCATTTTCACAAATGGGCCTTCAGTACTCTTCTGTTACCAACTTTAGGGCAGGGCACCTGGCAATGCCAGACCCTTGTGTAGATCTGTGAAACTCAAGAACTCAGAAAATCAGAAAGCCCTGGCCTAGAATGGGTCAGGAGATTTAGAAAATGGGACAAAGTCAGTTCCACTCACGATCAAGCAGTAATTTTCTTTAAAAGTTTTGTTTTTATTTTGTTTGTTTGGTTGGTTGGTTTTGTAGCTTAGGAGCAAGGTACCTTTTACATACCATTGTTACATATCCCTTTCCTAACATCACTTAAAATTCACTCTGCAGTAACAAATGACACTCTAGGTCGTATATTCATAGGGCGGTGTCCAATGTTACCTAAGTTATTAGGGCCTACTGATTTTTAGATGATACTCTAGGGAACATTGGCCTCTGAAAAGCAGCAGTAACTGCAGTTACAATCTAACAAGTGTTTGAAAAATATTATTAATAGATAGCCAAATGGCTGAATGAGTTCAAAGGGGGGAATTAGCCTCGAAGATATTACCAAGAAGACTTCCTGGCCTCTTATTTAATGTTTAATTTAACTAGAAATAAATATTTAATATTTAATCTTCGTACTAAATGTAAGAAAGCCATATTAATTGAGTACTTCAATTTCATTTACGTCTTCGGACTTATCTGAAATGATGACATTGCTATGAAAACACTCCAAGGATTTCCTCTGATTTTAGTTCATGGTACACTGGAAATCTGATCGCCCTATAGTCATTTTGTGTCTTAAAGGGCAGACAGTGTATAGTAGTTTAAGAACCAAAGTTGTATTGTGAACCAATTAAACAAAAGATTTATAAGTCTAATTTGACTTCCTGCCTTGGAAACTGAGCTAACTACTAGAACTGAGATTGTTCTTAGGGCATTTCTGAGCCTTTGTTTCTTATCCTAAGACACAATAGGAAAAAGAGTCCTTATTTTCTTTCTTTCTTTTTTTTATTGTTATCAGACAGGTGGTATACAGAGGCGTTGCAGTTATATAGGTCAGGTAAAGAGTACATTTCTCTTTGGACAATGTCACCCCTCCCCTCCCCTCTCCCAGTTTTTCCTTCCTGTCCCCACCCACACGTTGGACTCCCAAAGACATATAAACAAACAGAACAAAAAGAAAAGAAAACAAAAACAGGTGTTTTTCTTTTAAAAAACCCTCTTGTTTCCATTCCTGGAGCTTGTTTCGATAAATATCGTTTCGTATGATCAGATGCACATAGGCGTTGCGCCTCTGTGTTCCTCTCCTAAGAGTCCATCTTCTTGTTTTAAACACAGATTGATGCCCTGGCCTCCTGCCATATGAACTATGGGACCAGCGTGGTGGTAGGCGCGCCTCCCACAGCCAAGCTGCTCAGCTATGACCCCATGCTGCTTTTCACGGGACGCACGTGGAAGGGGTGTGTCTTTGGAGGTGAGAGCCACCAAGATCCCTGGGCAGTAGGTGGTGGCTTTACCTTCTGCCTGGCAAGGGACAGAAGCCTGTGGCTCATCACGTCTTCCTTAAAGATCTTTCTTCCAAGGATGACTATAAAGTGAGCTAAAGTACTCTAAACATGAGTACCCCAAAGACAATTGTCCAGTTCTCTCCTTGATTCAGTGCCAGTGTTAATGCACACAATTTCCTATTACTGTCTGCGACTAAAGTTCAGACCTGGATGAAAAGACACCAGCAGTATGTGTCTTGGGTCTAAATTAGGTGGCAGGAAAATTGTAATGGATTGTAGTATTCTTGGTACACCACGATGGGTAGGAAATATCAAATTTATTAAATTCATAGAAGCACCAGCCAAAATCTGGATCCAAAGCCAAAATAAATAAGCAAAAATGATGATCAGATTTTGTAGACATTTGCTGTTTACATAGAGAAAGTAATATACCAGGGGCCATGGGGAATCTTTCTATTCTTCTTCCCCATGGGGGGTCTCATTTTCTAGTGCCCTCATATCAAAGGCCACTTCACCCTCTGAAGGCACAAAAGAGGTGAGTGAAAACCATTCAAGTACTTGTTGAGACAAAGAGATCTTATTCTTGCTTTAGAGAAGTATATAATTTGGTGGAGAATGCAAATATTCATGGTAAGCAAATGATATAAAAATAAATGTGGCGTTTGCTTTCCAAAACAAATTATGAGAGGACTTATTTAGCATATGCAAAACTACTAACAGTCTTACGTAAATGTGTTGGCCTCTGTTATTTCTCTGTGACTATCTGCTCACGAATAATAAAACTTGGAACTGTTAAGTCCCTGCCCCACTAGTTGAGTTGACAAACTGGAGCTGGTGTTTAAAGGGCTAGAGCTTGCTCTCTTTCTTGTTCTCCCCTTGAGACACACAATCAGAGACCAGCTGGTTTGAGACACACACTTAGAGACCAGCTGGTTTGAGACACACAATCAGAGAGCAGCTGATTTGGATGAGAATCCTCAGAAACACTCCTTGGGGGAAAGAAGACTGCAAGTGAGAAACACAACAACAGAATCCTGAGCGGAACTTCTGCCTTTTTGACTATTTGTGTGAGGTGGAGAGATTATGGATAATTCAGGGATAGTAGACATAAAAACTAGTTAATTCATCAAATCTCAATCATGTAGTAAGTGCAAGACACATTTCCAGATGGTGGAAATACTGCACTCGCAAAAACACATACAAAGCCTCCACCGCTGGTGAGTGACAACTCCTCTCATTGTGATGCAGAGAGGCTGACAATAAGTAAGCAAATGCACAATGCCTCTTACTGTGATGAGCACAAAGGAGAAAAATAGGGGATGGACATCAGGTGGTCCCACAGGATGGGAAGATGGGAATGCTCTTTTATAAAACTCGGGGCTGGGAAGGTGGCTCAGCAGTAGAGCGCTTGCCTTGCATGCATGAGGCCCTGGGCTTGATTCCTCAGCACCACATAAACAGAAAAAGCCAGAAGTGGCGCTGTGGCTCAAGTGGTAGAGCACTAGCCTTGAGCTGAAGAGCTGAGGGACAGCGCCCAGGCCCAGAGTTCAGGCCCCACGACCGACAAAAAAAAAAAAAAATTCAGAGATGTCTCTCAGTAAGATAAGCAAAAGCCTAAAGGAAATGAGCTTGGAAGACTATTCTAGGAAAGGGCATAATAAGTAGATAAAGTGGCAGGAAGAGTGAAGTTAGCATGACCAGTGCAGAAGAGGGCAGGAGAGTGGAGTTATTCCTGTCCTTTCTCCCTGCTTTTCTGGGAAGTAAGGCCAGTTCTGACTTCCGGTTTACTGTTTTGCTTCTGCCTGCTCTGAGGGGGAAGGCCCATAGGAGGCAAAGGAATGAGTAGAGAGAACACATGGTATTTTAATGCAGGGAAGAGATGATGGTGGCTTGGGAAAGTGATGATTCTGGCAAGAAGTATTCAGATCCTAGACATATTTTTCAGAGAGCACCTATAGGAATATATATATATATATATATATATATATATATATATATATATATTCATTGAGGGAAAGAAAGAACAGAATTCAAGATCTGGGGCTTGAGCAACAGGCAATGATGAACTCATTGTCATATATTGAGATGAAAGACTGCAGAAGAAGCCAGTTGAGGACTAGTGGGAAGGGAATAAAGATCAGGACTAAGTAATGCTGAGCAAAGTGTAAATGCCTATCAGACCTCTGAACACAGTTTAGAGATGAGTCTGTAGAGGTAGAGATCTAGATTGGAGATAAAACTCTTAAATGTTTTGAGCTCGGCACCATTGTCTCACACCTATAATCCTAACAACCCTGGAGGCTGAGATCTGAGGATTAAAGTTCAAAAACAGCATAAGCAGGAAAATCTGTGAGACTCTTATTCCTAATTAACCACCAAAAGTTGGGAGCAGAGGAGTGACCCAGTGAAAGAACACCACCGGTGCACGCATGCACACTCACTCGTAATTATTTTTTGTTTGTTTGTTTGTTTTGTTGGCGTTGGGCTTGAACTCAGGGCTTGGGTGCTGTCCTTCAGCTCTTCAGCACTGAAGAGTAGGCGAGTGCTCTACTGCTTGAGCCACAGCGCCACTTTGGTTTTCTAGTGCTTTATTGGAGATAAGAGTCTCACTGACTTTCCTGCCCAGGCTGGCTTTGAACGGTGATCCTCAGACCTCAGCCTCTTGAGTAGCTAGGATTACAGGCATGAGCCACCAGTGCCGGGCTTCGTAATTGTTTTAAATATAGTTTATTAAAGTCCATGAGATTAGAGGGAATTACTTTTAGGGTAGATATAAAGAGGAGTACAGGTATGAGGACCAAGCCCTAGAGCATATTAGAAGTCTGGAGGCTGTAAAGGATTTACAAAAGACCTCCAAATTCTATTTGAGGTAATTGGACAATGATGACGATGATGTGTTGGCTGACAGCAAGTATATTGTCATTTCAGCACTCATAGTTGACCAATGGGTCAAAATGAAGGTCAAAGATAGCCTTAATTGAAGCTGTTCCATCAATGTGCTTGAAACAAGTGCCGAATTGGTGAAAGAACTGTAACCAATGAATTGGCGAAATCTTGAGGGGAAAAAACAACAACAGCAATGCATTGGAGTCGATTCTTTCCATGGTTTACACCTGGCATGGAAATGTGAGAGCTGGATTTGCAACCTTCATTTCTTAGATCAGAGAAATAATGCTCATTTGTATGTTATGGGGAATGACCCCATGCAGGAAAAAATAATAATGCAAAATGGAAAAGCCACAGTGTACCGCAACAAAATAGACTAATTTATAAAGTACAAAGAAAAATGTGTTTTTGTTTGCAGGTTGGAAAAGCAGAGATGATGTACCTAAATTAGTGACTGATTTTCTAGCAAAGAAATTTGACCTCGACCAGTTGATAACCCATGTTCTACCTTTTAAAAAAATCAATGAAGGGTTTGAACTACTCTACTCTGGGCAAAGGTAACTATTATTTTATGGTGTTTGTGTCTCCACAAGCTATTTGTCTATGTTACTTTTTAAACCTATCAGTTTGTTTCATGTTTTGTTTCTATTATATAAACAAGCCATGTTGACAATAGTTGCCTACTTCTGTCTACTCACAGAAGGTCACTGTCCTGTATTCATTTTTTTGAAGTCCTCTAAAATTTGAAAACTTTCCAGTTTTCAAATATGCTTCCTTTTGAACCTTGAAGATTAAATATTCTTCTTACCAGATGATGAAACTAAGATTATGAGAAGAAAATAAACAGTATGTCTACATGATCATGCTGGTGCTGGGTGAAACTGTATTATAAAGCCTACGTTCTTTGTAGCACCTGTCCAACTTCTCTAATAGGTTAGGTAAGCCCCAGGGAATCATGAGTGTTCATGTCATACCTTTTCTAGACTTTGACAATTGGGCAAGGGTAATGTTGCAATAGAAAGAATTCAAGCAAATGTCAAATACATCTGTCTTTACTATGGATATCTATAACAATAACTAAAGAGCCTGTCTAGGAGACAATAGTTGATTTCATTCATTGTGCCCATAAATATTTATTGAGCATTCACAAAATATTTGGATTCCGTTAGTAAAAGAAACTACACAGCAGCCTGAGATCAAAGTTTTCACTCACTCTTCAAGTTTGATCATGTCTCCACATCTGGTCACACCCACAGGGTCACTGTATTGTGAACGTACGCTTCATTACTAGTTCACCAAGTAAATAAGAGATTGCTCAGAAAAACTGTCAGAAACACCAAGTACTGCTTTATTCAGAAGAGCACAAGTAATCATTTAAATTGAATGCTAAATATAAGCAGTAGTTGTTTCCCAAAGAAACAAATTCTCCCTTCAGAAATTTTGTTTCAAATACCACCCTAATGCAATAACCTCCAAACTGCTGTGTATAAATCAAAGCCCTTTGCCTCCCCTTTTCTTTCATAGTTCCGGAGACTGGAGTCTCACTTATCATCACCAACTTTTCCCAAATAGTTCTTTCACCCGCCTGTCTGATCTCAACACATAATGTCACTCACTCTACTTCTACCAACCAGAAACCACAAAACTATCACTAACTTCTGTCCTCTGTTGCTTTCCCTGGACAAAGCAGTGCTCACCTCTGCAGGTGCAATCTTGCCATTCCTCCTCCAGACCCCCTTCCGCTTTTCTAGACAGCATCATTGCCTTCGTTCAGAGTGATCGAGGCTCAGTCTGCACGGATTGACTGACGCTGGAGCTTGATAACAGGCCTCCTGCTTCTGATTTTTCCCATACAAACCACCATGATTCCTCAGCTCAGTTGCCCTCAAATCGTCAGTGTCTTTGCTTTACAAGCCATCATTTATTAATATGATCTAGTTATTCAATAACTAAGAATTTTGCACACACTTTACGCCAGCCTCTAGGCTAAGTTGTTTGGGCATCAAAAAGACTAAGCACCCCGAATCATCCTCCCAGTTCTCAGCTCCTTAGCCTCATTTGAGTTTTGCTCCAGCTTGAAGAACCTTTTCCTTTTGTCAGTCAATTACTGTTACAGTGATGGTTCCAAACTCAGCTCCAATGCTCTTGTCAGAGATATGCCGGAGGAAATTAATTAGTCGGGGTTCATCTCAGACCCTAATGGCTTTTCACTAACAATTTGCTTAGTTTTTATGACAGACAGGAAGGATTATTGTTGGAAAAAAATCCAGAAACAAATCACTAATATCACTCTTCTGACATTTCAGCATTCGAACTATCCTCATATTTTGAGAGTGACAGGAATTCTGTGCTGGATGCTGGTGACCTGGAACTTTCTTCCTTCCACTTCCCTCCCTTGAAGCGTGGATCTATTTCAGAGAAACAAGCAGAAATAGATTTGGGAACATCCCGATCCTTTATATGAGCTTATGGAATCTCAATAAAAATGTAGTCTTATGAGCATCAGTGAATTGGCGGGGGGCTTCATAATAAAACTAATTTTAATTCATGTGTTCAAAGGCTGTACTTATATGTGTGAAAATGCACAATTGGATTTCTATGTTGGAATGAAGATAGTTTTCTAGGAGTTTAAACCAGTTGCTATGATTTAAAATAGACACAGCAGATAAGAATGTGGTAAAAGTATTTCCTGAACAAATATTCATTGCACACTGTACACAATGTAAAAGCATTGCTATTTTCACATAAATATTTCTTAAAATATTTGTTATAAATTAACTTAAATAATATTATGAGCCAGGCACTGTGGGATCACACCTGTAATCCTAGCTACTCAAGAAGCTGAGATTGCGGTTCAAAGCCAGCCCAGACAGGAAAGTCCATGAGACTCTTATCTCCAACTAACCACCAGAAAACTGGAAATGGTGCTGTGGCTCAAGTGGTAGAACACTAGCCTTGAGCTGAAGAGCTGAGGGACAGCACCCAGGCCCAGAGTTCAAGCCCTACAACTGACAAAAAAAAAAAAGATTATGAAATAAACTTGTTACTTTGGGCATATTATTTGGTTGGATTAAGAAGAAAATTGGGAAATTTAAGGTGAGGATGCATTTTTCAATGATTAACTTAAAGAGCTGCCAATTGACACAATTGGAGAAGTATATTGTCGCACAATTGGGCTATTTGTCAGTGTCTATTAATACTTTATAGAATATTACCTTTATAATACTCAAAAGTACAGCTACAAACACATTATACCACTTATTATAGTGTTCAGTTTAATAAGGTAGAAATACAGGTCTCTAAGTCTATTAATATTTACTTAATAATGATTCCATTTAACAAAAAGAGTTGTTGTTGTAGTTTGATATTAGCATGTGTGTATGTGAGTGTGTGTGCACATAGAATATGTGTTAAAAATTCTTAATTAAATATCTGAGTGCCAATGGTTCATGCCTGTAATCCCAGCGACTTAGGAGGCTGACATCTGACTATCACAGTTCAAGCCAGCCAAGGTAAGAAAGTCTCTGAGTTCCTTTGTTGTTGTTGTAATCTTATTTTATTTATTGTGAAAATACTGTACAGAGGGGCTACAATTATATGAATAAGGTAATTAGTACATTTCTTATCAAGCATTGTTGCCTCCTCCTTTGTTTCCCCTTCCTATCCTTTCCCATCCGGCCCCCCGCCCCCAGGACAAAGTTGTAAAGTTTGTTTTTCGGCATAATGTCTTGTACATCTCATTGTTGCAATGGGTCCACCTGTATCCTTATTTAAACATTTTGTTTTTTCCCTTCCCCTCCACAAATTATACCAAATATACATCAAATACAGTGAAAACAGGGGTTATACCATCGGGGAGGGACATACAAAGCAACAAAGAAATCATCTTATAAATATGTTAGAAACAATACAAGAAAGAAAAAAACATTTGAGTCCTTATCTTGGGATTCATTTCACCTAACATCAACTTATCTGACCGTTTCTGCTTGACTCAGACATATACT